TCTCATTCCTTCCCTCTACTGGGCAATGTATGTAGAGCTTGCCATCTTCCTGACAACACCCATCATCCCCAAATTTCATGCTGCATTTTGCAATAGCCCTTCAATGCTAATTTTGATGATCATTTAAACCAGATTTTTTTAAAAGATTTTTTTTTAATTTGACAGACAGATCACAAGTAGGCAGAGAGGCAGGCAGAGAGAGACAGGAGGAGGAGGCAGGCTCCCTGCTGATCAGAGAGCCTGATGCGGGACTCGATTCCAGGACTCTGAGATCATGACCTGAGCCGAAGGCAGAGGCTTTAACCACTGAGCCACCCAGGCGCCCCTAAACCAGATTTTTTAAAACAAAAATGCTAGGGATAAGGGTTGCAGAGAACTCACTTGTGCTTTGACTCCAGGCCCCTATCCCACCTATGGATGATCGTGATGAGGGAGTGGCTCAGAAGAGGACAGGAAAAATTCTTCATCCTCAGGTTGCTTTACAGTGAAAAGAGAAGGCCCAGAGACTGCATAACTGATTTTTGCATTAGATATCTTTTAATGATTCTAACAGTTCAAATTGAGCATTCCACAGAAGGAAGCCATTCTTCCATCCTCGCTAATGATTCTCTGGGCCTTGCCTTTCACCTCCCACTAGCTAGTGTTCCATGACGACTGCCAGCCACATGCTGCACTACCTTGCTCCTTCCTCTCCTCTTCCCTCATGCATACCAGCTACCTCTTACAAGTCAGCTCTGGCGGCAGCGACTTCGAAAGCTTAAACCTATTCCGGAGGCTTATATGGTTCAGTGGTGTTCCGAATGCTAATAAAGATGCCAAGAGCTTTTAAACTCATTCTCTGTTGCTGCTGAGTTTGGAGTTGGAGGTGTTGCAGAGGAGAGTCAAATCTTGAGTCTCCCTTTCCTGCAGAACTTTGGTTCTGCAAGAAGAAGAAATGGGCCCTGAATGCTATCTAGTATTCAAGGGGCAACCTAGGGATACCATCACAGTTAACCATTCTTTGGAAGATGAGTCGTCTTTTGTTTGTTTGTTAAGATTTTATTTATTTATTTATTTAGAGAGAAGGAGAGTGAGCAAGCAGGGGAAGAGGTAAAGGGGGGGTGGAGGGGGAGGGACAAGGAGAGCATTTCAAGCAGATTCTGTACTGCTGAGTCCAGATCCCAACTCAGGACTTGATCTCAAGACTCTGAGATCATGACCTGAGCCGAAATCAAGAGTCAGATGCTTGACCAACTGAGCTACCCAGGCACCCCGGGAGATGAGTGCTCTTAATGGGGTAGGGGTTCCCAGGTCCTCAGTAGTCTCATGCCTGTCAACATTTCCAGTGTCTCTACTCTTAAGAAGAGTAAAGGGCTGAAGTCTAGAGATTGCCTGAAAGAGGAAAGAGAGTTGGACAGAAACAAGACAAATTCTCAGTTTCTCCCAGCAGGGCAAAAGGAACAAGGAAATAAGAGACCAGAGGATTTAGTGACCTAAAGTGCCAGAGAGTCCTAGGGCTGAAAATAGAGAAGCTAGTGGGTGAGGGGGATCAGATGGCAGGAATCTTACAGGTCTGTATCAGCCATGGAGGAGTCAAAAAAAAAAAAAAGTCTAACAGTAGGGGCTCTGCCTTTAAGGAATTTATGGCAATGTAGTTGTGGAATAAAAAATAATACACTTGCAATAATTTGTAATTTGGTGTTAAGCCATGCTGTTGAGAAAACAAAGTGCTATAGGAACTTGGAGAAAGGACATATGTAGGCTAGCATCCTCTGTGAGCTGAATGGCTGACTGAGAAAGTGGGTTTTCATGTCCCAGCTACAGTGGCTATAGCTTTTCTAGAGATGAGTGTGCCTGAGTCTTGCATAGTTTCCTGGAGGAAGTGTGGGGGAGGAAGCTTCATCATCATCAGCATTTTTTAATCATTACTGTCATCACCAAGAACCACAATAAACATTAATCGAGCATCCCTCCCTGAGTCTACACTTCTGTTGGGTAGGCAGGGCAAACACAGAAAGAGCTGAAGGACTAGTGCAAGACAGAGTGTGCCAATAGCACAAAGACAGAGGGAAAAGTGAGGGTTGGGGAGGTGAAAGAAGGCTTCTTGGAGGAGGTAGTACTTGAGCTGACCCTTAAAGGAAAAGTTAGGGTTTGGCTTAATGGGGAAAAGAGTGAAGGCCCCTGTAAATGACCTCAAGAAGACACAGAGGTGGAAGTGAGCAAGGCAAGTATAATTAAAAGAGAAAGTTTGCTGGACTGGAGAAAAAGGTTTGTGGTAGGGTAACATGGCTGATGATATTGGTGAGGGAAGTAATGTGGTGATTACAGAAAGCCTTTAATGGCAAACAGAGGGAGCTGTTTAGGAACAAAGTAGGAAGGCCTTGTAGATTTGTGTATTTGGGGTGTGCTGCGGACACAGGGAAGGAAGAAAGGCTAAAAGAATCAGGATTTTTACATTCTTCCTAGCTTCAGTCTCCCATGTGAGGGTGACCAATTTATCCCATCTCAGCAAACAGAGAAGTTTGTCACCCTACTTGAGATCCATCTTGAGAACATGTTCCTAAGAAGCCCTTAGAAGTTGTTCACCCTATACTGTTGGTGGAGAACGCTGTGCCTCTTGGAAAGCCGCAACCAATTAACACTATGTGTGAAGTGTTTTTAGATAGTGTTGACCTGTCTTGTGCAAAGGAAATGAGGAAGGATCAGCCTGCTAACCCAGCTAACCCAGCTACCGGCAGGGGCATGGGTGCAGACCAAGATAGCATGCCTACTTTAAAGGCAACAACCTTTAGAAGTTGATTTGTCCCAGAATCAGCCCTGGGGAAAGGAGGCAGCAATTGCAGCAATCTTAAAAATCAACACAATGGGGGCGCCTGGGTGGCTCAGTGGGTTAAGCCACTGCCTTCGGCTCAGGTCATGATCTCAGGGTCCTGGGATCGAGTCCCACGTCGGGCTCTCTGCTCAGCAGGGAACCTGCTTCCTCCTCTCTCTCTGTCTGCCTCTCTGCCTGCTTGTGATCTCTGTCTGTCAAATAAATAAATAAAAATTAAAAAAAATCTTTAAAAAAAAAATCAACACAATGACAAGACCAAGTCTTTCTCTAGGCCATCATTTTTGTGGCTGCTAGTTGGCCACTCCTCACATATTCTTTTTACTGGCCTCCTGCAGCAAAAGGAGATTGGCACAGGCTCTGCTACATTTATATTATTACCAGGAGGCAGATGTTTTCTCTATTTCTCTGAGGTTTAGAATTATGCAAATGAAGGCATGAAAACAAAAGCTCAGTGAGATGGGGGAGGATTGATCTTAAGAATCCTGGCAATTTTCTGAGCTCTTTAAGTCACCCCTCTCAGTTTTTACTAACAGCTCTCTTGGCTCCTCTCCAGTCTATTTAGAATTTGGCACCTCTTCAGAACCTTCCAGTCAAAGACCTGAAAGTTCATTCTAAAGCCCCTATCCCGGCCTTATTTTGCAACTGGGGAAATCAAGGCATATAATAGGAATTTTCAATGCTGACCTTGAGTCTTGACACACACACACCCCCATCCCTTTCTATCTTAACCTCTCCTACACACAGTCTTGTCCGGAAAGGAAGCTGTGGCCCAGTTGCCTGTCAGGTCTCCTCCGCCCACACCCCACCGTGTTGGTATCTGGAGGGCAACAGGACCTAGCGTAGTTCAACCCTGAGGCCGAAAGAGAGAGAGAGAGAGAGAGAGAGAGAGAGAGAGAGAGAGAGAGAGACCTGCCTAACCGCGTGGGTTGTGCAAGTGTGCGAGCTAGCTAGTTCGCGAGGGCGGAGTGGAAGTGGGCGTCTGCTGCTTTGGGGGAATAGGAAAGCTGTGGCTCCCTCTGGGATCCAGGGGTCGTAGTGAGAAGCGGTTCCGAAGGTTAGCCCAAGCCCCCCTTTCTGTCGCGCCTCTCCACCCGGAGCATCCTTGGGCTGCCGGCCCTGGCACTCGCAGGCTAGTTTTGTTTGGCCCCAGAGGTCCCTCCCATTCCGCCCGCCCCCGCCTTCAGTGCCTCAGTTCCCGAAGCCACGACTTCCCGCAGCTGGAACTGCAGGCCAGGGAGGACCCCAGCAGTCGACGGCGTCCAAGACTCTGACGACATCTGCCTTTGCCCTCCTGGGCTGGCGCCCCGCACGTCGTGCTTCTTGCTAGCAAAGTTTCTCTGTGGAAAAGAAGCCTCTTTAGCTTTCTTCGGATCCTGCAACGCGCGCGCGCACGCGCTCGGCTTCTCTCCCCCTGAGACTGCGCTCCCGACGGAGGTGGTGCCTTTGCTCCAGTCCCCTGCTCCAGCCGCTACCACCCCGCTTCGGCCCCCCTCCCTCGGCACTCCCCTGCCCCGGCCGGCGGCCTTGGGGGCGGAGCTTGGGAAATCTGTAGAGCCTGCTGGAGAGCCTTCGACTCCGCGCGGGTCCTGAGAGAGCAGCGGTGAGCGGGCGAGCTGATAGGCACAGCCTAAGGATAGCTTAGGGTGCCTAAGCACTGAAATGAGCCCCCGAAGGGACGCTCAGGCTGCACCCCCTCTTCTGCCCTGGTTCAGTTCTCGGCAGGTTTGAGAGGGCGTACTGGTGGTCAGAACTCCTAGAGAGGTGCTGCTGAGTGTTCGTGCCCCGACAGAGTGGCTACCCCGACTCCCTGCGGGGCTGCGAAAGGAGAAGGAGCCAAGGAGACAGCTGTCCCCAAGTTTTTCACGTGCCTGGAACTGGACTCCGGACTGGGCGCTAAAATGCTTGCTTTCGTCCTGTCCAGGTTTCATAGCATGTCTGTTGACAATTGGAAGCCCGGGCCAATGAAGAGTCAAGTTCGAAGTGGTACTCCTGGGTTCTCCATCCCATACTCCAACAAGTGTAACATGAAACTAGAGAGAGGGGTCTTCTGGTCTAACTAGCAGATCTCCATTCTGGAATTGTCCTTGACCGCTCTCTTAGATACTTGGACTGCAGTGGCTCCAGGGTTCTCTTGAGCGGGGGTGGGGCTTGCTCTGAAGACCAGACTACAACACTCAGAAACTCGACAATGGACCGAGTTTATGAAATTCCTGAGGAGTCCAACGTGGATCCAATTTCATCTCTGGAGGAAGATGTCATCCGTGGGGCCAACCCGCGATTTACCTTCCCATTTGGCATCCTCTTCTCCACCTTTTTGTACTGTGGGGAGGCTGCATCTACCTTGTACATGGTTAGAATCTATCGAAAGAATAGCGAAACATACTGGATGGCATACACTTTATCCTTCTTTATGTTTTCATCCATTATGGTCCAGTTGACACTCATCTTTGTTCACAGAGATCTGGCCAAAGACAAGCCGCTATCATTATTTATGCATCTAATCCTCTTGGGACCTGTTATCAGGTGAGCAATTTTTAATTTCTACCCCGTCCCCGGGTTTGTGCAGAGAAAGATGAAGCCAATATTTACAAGACTGGTACTGTGCCTCTAATCAATTCTCCCATTCCCTCCCACTCTTGGCTTCCTTGTCCTGCCTACCATCCAAAAAATCTTATCTGAAACCTTAAATGCCACCACAGTGAACATGTGGTGTGTACTTGTGTTCCAAAGCCATGTATGGTACCACTGATAAGACTTCATCAGACAGTGTTTGCTATTTGGATTTGAGTTGTGAAAATTGGTATGGGACCAGCTGATGTGGTTAACCTGTGCACACAGGCCATAGCTTCAGAGTGTGTTATTTTAACTCTGCCTTTTAGACACTGTATAAACTGTATCTCACATTCAGTTTCTTTATCCTGAGCTGCTTGAGCTAGTGGTCGTGGCGCTTTCAAATTTTCCAGAGTTATTTGACATCTGGAAAATATTTTCAGCTCTTTGTGGTCATCTAGTACCCCAACCCATTGTCGTTTGTTTTTTTCTGTTGGTTCATCAGTCTCCTGTTTATCTCTTTGTATCTTTCTGCTATAAAGGTACATGGTTAGAGGGGACAAAGGAGGATAGGTCATCTCTCCATCTGAATGCTGTAACTCATTGTAGTAGTATCCAGTCTTTCTATTCAGATTGCCTTGAAGGGATGAGAACATGCCTTATCTTAGGGAGACAGGCATCTGTGTCGGCTGTCTCATCTGGATACTATGGGATTTTCAAGTTAGGGAGATGTTGCAAAACTTAACGAAGTCAGGAGGAAAGAATGGACCAAGTTTGTCTTGATTGCAATCAGCTGAAGAATATGTGTCAGAGTGTTGATGTTGTAATTGCAGAGGGAAGATGTTTCATCCTTAGAGAACTAAACGCAGTCTGAAACTGTTCAAGGATGGAACTCCTCTGCCTTAAAAAAAATTTTTTTAATCAATATATGCTCAAACGAGGAGGGATTGGTCAGGCTCCATTGGAGAAAACAGTAGCCTGAAATTCCAGTGACCTGGAGTTTGGTCCTCCCTCTGTCATTGACTAGTTGCATGGCTCTGATGAAATCTCTGAAGATGTCTTGGACCCCAGTTTCTTCATCTGCATGATAAATGGGTTGGGTTAGATCATGGGTCTCAAATGCAAACGCTTAAACGGGCCAGGCAGGTCTCATATATGAGTGAAGCAGGCCAAGTACAAGAAAACCAGCAGCTTCGTGTGTGATGATAAATGAAAATGAAGTCTTAGTGTTAGAGGAATGATGGAGAATAGTGAATAGTGTGGCAAGCTGGAGTCTACACGATTTGCCTAAAAGAGGCAGCTACTCTGTAATTCCATCCCTATCGTTTCACTGTTGGAATCCAGACCCAATACTGCCACAAGCCCTAACTTTTCAAGAGAACCTTCCAGGACAGGATTTTATATGAAATATCAGTTTGAATCTTGGCAGCTTGACTGACGAAATAACACAGTATGGACCAAACAAACCACAGCTGTTGGTCAGATGTGACTCAGCTGGCCTATATGTAACCTTTGTACTAGGCAATCTATAGCACCTTTCCAATTCTAAATCTTTGAAGTTAAGCTGTAAAACAAAGACCTCATCTTGAACTTGGAACCAAGAAATTTAGAGATGTTGGGGCACCTGGATGGCTTAGTTGGTCTGGGTTTCGGCTCAGGTCATGATCTCAGGGTCCTGAGATCGGGCCCACGTGGGGCTCCATGCTGGGTGTAGAGCCTGCTTAAGATTCTCTCTCTCTCTCCCTTCCCTCTCCCCCTCCCCACCCCGTGCATGTACACGCTGTCACTCATGCTCTCTCTCTAAAAAAAGAGAAAACCCCGCAAATTAAGAGATGTCACCAGAGGTACAAGGAAAACATTCTTTTATCAGCCTTTTCCAATGCGATATACTGAGTTAACAGATCAAGCGCACTCAAAGTGCAAATTTCAGCAGGTACTGCCCCAGTCCAGAGTTTAGACTTCCCTCCTTTGCTTTGTGGCTTCCCAAGCCATCTTTAATTTGGCCCCACCATATGGAGTATTGAGTACTGTATTTCATTTTTGTTATTTAGCTTCCACTAGAAATGATTGGAAAGCATTTATAATAGCCTGACAGCAGGGAAGAAATAATTAAAAGCCCATATATTATATCCTTGATATGCTTATGTTCAAGGCAAATTACTTTATGGGCAGGTAGGAACTTGATTAGTGCTATTAGGCATATGAAGGTGTTTGGAGGATCTGGCTCCCTTATATGAAATGCAAACTACTTCTGAAAATGAAAATGTACTCTAATTTACTGAGGCTTATAACCAAAGCGAACACCCGTACTTAAATCAGTAAATAGCCTTTAGAAGCATAAACAGAATGCTTCCTGCCACTACCTCCCCCAGTATTTTCTTCAGCAATAACACTGATGGGCCTGGGTTAAAATCTAAAATATTTTATTGGAAATGCACTTGGCTTTTTTTCTTCCCTGTTCTCTCTTCCTCCCACCTTTTCCTCTCCCAGGTTTTAGAATTTGAAATGTCCACTTTCTAGGGAGAAAACTCCATGCTTCAGACTGGCCCCTATGCCCTAGTCTCCGAGGGATCCTGTGGAGAATGGCAGCCAGCACATGTTCGAACCTTCCTATTGGGAGCCAAAGGCCTAAAAAGCACATAAACCTCTGAGCTTGTCTTTAGCCTATTTTTCCATTAAATTACATTGCCATTATTATTATCATCCTCTCCTCCCATCGTTTCTCACCCTATAATCTTTTCTTCCTTCTTACTCTTTCATTTACGCAGAAAATATTTATCAAATACCCAAGATGAATACAACCCATGCCCTCAGGCAGGAAAGATGGCTTCATTTTCACCACAACTCTTCTTTCTTATTATAATAGTACACAGTTTCCATTCATTTAAGGGTAGTGGAGGAAGTGGTAACTCAGGTGTTCCAAAACAAAATGTTCTGATTGCTTCTCTTCTAGTCACCACATCTGAACTGTTTACAGGCTTCTGATGTATGTGGGAGAGATACAGCAAGAAATGGGGTCTTATCACTATTTCAAGTTTGGTAGGCTTGTGATCCTTAAGAGGATGTTTTCCTCTTTGTAAAGAAAGAAGGAAGTTTCAAAGGCTCTTGGCCCCAAACAGATCAAGAGGCCCCAAAAATAACCTTTAGAGAGATCTTTTGATGTTCCCTGGGTATGTAGCACATTCAGTTCTGAGTTGACAAGTCTTTAAGTACCTTGGTGATTGAATGGCATTACTGTATACATGTGAGGTTTTTTCCAAGCTCCCCTTCAAGACTTTTTGGCAAGACGATTATAGTTGTGGGCTTTGTCTTGAAAAAAGCTGAACTCAAAAGCCCCAAGTATGAAGCTGAATGCTTTGCATAAAGCATAAAGAAATGCTTTACCTTAGCAACTTGAGGTGTTATGAAAACCAGGGCCTTTAAGAACCTTCATCATTTTCTCTCAGCACATTATTTACATATCTTTGTGTTCAAGGTGCCTTTCTACCACAGGCCTATTCTTAAGGAGACAAAGCAATTCCTTAAATTCTCAAAGAAACTCTGAAATGGTGTTCTCAGGTCAGTAGATAACCAGCCAAACAAAAAAGGATTTAGACTCAATTTGTGGAAGGAATGACAACTCTTTGACTCATGAGGAATGAGTAGAATGGGAATTAAGGAATGGCAAAAAGCAGCACAAACTCCCTGAATTGTATTATTATCCGCCCCACCCCGCCCCCACCCCCCACTACAACCTTTCTTCCCAGGACAGTTTTAGTTAAGTACCTGTGATGCTTTACCTCTGCAGATGTTTGGAGGCCATGATTAAGTACCTCACACTGTGGAAGAAAGAGGGGCAGGAGGAGCCCTATGTCAGCCTTACCCGAAAGAAGATGCTAATAAATGGCGAGGAAGTGCTAATAGAATGGGAGGTGGGCCACTCCATCCGGACCCTGGCTATGCACCGCAATGCCTACAAACGTATGTCACAGATCCAAGCCTTCCTGGGCTCAGTGCCCCAGCTGACCTATCAGCTCTATGTGACCCTGATCTCTGCAGAGGTCCCCCTGGGTAGAGGTGAGTAGGGTCAGGAGAGGGGAGGGCTCCATTTAAATCAAGGGTCTTAGAAATAAAGACCTGAACTGTCCAATGCACTGGCTACCAGCTTCAAGGGGCTATTTATATTAAAATGAAACATGAAATAAAAATTTTACTTCCTCAGTCGTACTAGCCACGTTTCAAGTGTTCAGTAGCCATGTGTGCTTAGTGGTTACCGTATTAGATAGCACTGGTAGATAGTCAAAGAACTTGGGGAGCCAGAGATCTTAGGCCTGCCAGATTTATTTAATGAGGGTAAACTATTTAAGCCTTAAAGTGCCAGAGATAAGCCCTCTCTGGGCCCAGAAACAGCTGGTAATACCAGCAGTTAGTAGGACACTTTCCCTAGCCCAGAGTGTTTAAATTATACTGAGGGTTTTTTGTTTGTTTGTTTTGGTTTAGGGATGGCCATCTTTTAAGAAGAGATTCCCAAATATTACTGATCATGAGAAAACATATTACTGGGTGAAAACTCCTTCTTAAAAAAATTACATCTTCATGGGACACCTGGGTGGCTCAGTCGTGACTCATGAGACTCACTCTCAGTGGTACTGAGAGTAACACTCAGACGTGGCACTAGTCTGCCTTCTGCTTAGGTCATGATGCTTCATGCTTCATGCTTAGGTCAGGGTCCTGGGATGGAGCCCCGCATCGGGCTCCCTGCTCAGCGGGAAGCCTGCATCTCCCTCTCCCACTCCCCCTGCTTGTGTTCCCTCTCTCTCTCTCTCTCTCTGTCAAATAAGTAAACAAAATCTTTTTTTAAAAAATTACATCTCCTACTCAGACCTGACTCAATCTGAGTGTGGGGAGGCCAGGAATCCGTACTTTTTAAAAAATGCCCCAGCTGGGGGCACCTGGGTGGTTCAGTAGGTTAAAGCTTCTGCCTTCCGCTCAGGTCATGATCCCGGGGTCCTGGGATGGAGCCCCCATCGGGCTCTCTGCCCCACAGGGAGCCTGCTTCTCCCTCTCTCTCTCTGCCTGCCTCTCTGCCTACTTGTGATCTCTGTCTGTCAAATAAAGAAATAAAATCTTAAAAAAAATGCCCCAGTTGAGTCTGATCAGCCACATTTGGGAACCACTGATTTAATTACTTCTCCCAACTCCGGTGGGGAGAAAGAAATGTAGGTGTGGAACGAATACAGATGAGAATGAGGCTTGGTCCCAGTTCTGACCTTCTGTGTGATTTTTGGAGGAAGTTATCTAAGAGGTCACAGTCTTAATTTCCCACTTGTAAAAGATGGATCTTTAGATGAGTAAGACCTCTAGGAGAGGAGGAAATGTGAGTCATGTTTTCAAAGTCAAGATAAAGTACTGTTAATGAGTTTTAACAGCTCAACATTAGCTTCATCTAGTTAGGCTGGAGCTGGTAGAGCTGTGGGTACAACTTTGAACCATTTCCTTCTTGTGAAATGGCGATCCTGCTTGCCAAAGCCCCATGGTGCAAATGAATGTAAGGAGGGCATTTGTCTCCTTTTCTCCTTTCCTCCACCAAGAATTGTTCATGAAATTGTTGGTCTTCACGCTTTTTACGTACCTAGGATTGACAGTAGTGTGAAGAGAAAAGGAAATGATGATGATTTTCTTCCTGAGAATTTTGAAGGTCATCAAATCATCTAATTAAAATATGTATACTTTACAAAAGTAATACATACACAAACCAATTGACCCATGAGTAATCGTATATGCGTAGAAAATTTCCGGAAAGATATGTCAGAAATCATTTACCGCTGGAGAGTGAAAATGAGAAGTCGTCGACTTTTACCTTTTACTTTATACCCTTCTGTATGGTTTGAAATTTATATGATTTAAAATTTTTGCTATGACCATGTGTTACTATTTTTGGTCCTTATTTTTTTAATTATAAAAATCAGACAGGGTTATGGTAAAGAATCAGAACCACAAAGAACATATATCAAACAGGAGATGTAATTTTACTTCTCAAAAGTAATCTCTGTTAATCATTCAGTATATATCCTTCCAGACTTTTTTTTTACTATGTAAATATACATAAGTTATATATGTATCTGTATTTTTGACAAAAAGGGCTGTATTAAACATTCTGTTCAATGTCTTTTGCCAGTATATCTTTCTTTAATGGTTATTTATACATACATATATAATAATAAATGATAAATACATAATATATGTTTTTCTTATGTGAACTGGATCATTCTTTGTTATTTTTCTGATCTTATGTTGGTAGGATTGAAGTTTCTTTCTGATGTTTGCATTCAAGAAAGTTTTTTCTAATCACAAACTATACTCCAGCGAACATCTTTCTAAGTATCTGTGTCCCAGAATGAGACTTCATAGGATAAATTCTTAGCAATGGAAGTGCTGGGTGGAAGGATATACATGTTCGGAATCTTATCAGTACTGCCAAATAGCCCTCCCAAAAGGTTGTTTGAATTTATATTCCTACCTGTAGTGTATGAATATGCTTTTTCTTTATATATTAAACTAAATATCATTTAGTTGTATAATTATAAAATAACTGATTACATAAATAATTTGCTTTTAATTATGAAGCCAGCTGAGCATCTTTTCATGTTTGGTCATTGTGTTCTTTAAATTGCTGATTTATAGTGGGTTGTCTTTTTCTTATTAATTTGCAGGAGCTGTTTTCTTATTCTGATATTAATCCTTTCTCTGCTGTAGATAAGTGTGTATGTATACATTTGCATGTTTTGCATGTGTGTACATACACACATTTTAAATGGTCTCCTGGCTTTCTTAAATATTAAAATTTTTATCATTTAAATTCTTTATTGCTTTAGATCTTGTGCACTTCTCACGAAAGCCTTTCACAATTCTTATCTGATAGGCAACTTAGCCTAATCTTCCAAGTAGATGAATTTCCACATTCAGTTTGTCAATTCCCCTACCAAAACACAAAACAAAGCAGGACAGTAACAACAAAAGAAAAAGAAATTTCATTGAGACTGTGTATTGGGATTGCATTAAATTATTTGGGTTGTTTTGGAGGGAATTTTCATATTTACAGGATCAATCAGTTTCATATTAGAAGAGATGTATGTCTCCATTTCGTTAAGTATTTTTACATCACTTTATTGAGGTATGATTAACAAAAACCTCTACCTATTTAACATATCCAACTTGATGAGTCTGGAAATAAGTATACATCCAGGAAATATCCCTAAAATCTATGCCATAAATATGCAAAGCCCGGAGCAGGAAAACCATACAACTTTATCGAAGTACATTGAAAAATATTTAATGAAATGTACTTTGATAAAGTTTATAGTTTTCTTGCTATTGGTTTTGCACATTTCTAGGTATTAGTTTTTTTTTTTTAATTTGACAGAAAGATCACAAGTAGGCAGAGAGGCAGGCAGAGGGAGAGAGGGAAGCAGATTCCCAGCTGAACTGGGAGTCTGACGTAGGACTCATTCTATCCCAGGACCCTGAGATCATGACCTGAGCCAAAGACAGAGGCTTAACCCACTGAGCCACCCAGGCACCCCTAGGCATTAGTTTTTAAATCACCTGATTTCCTAAGTGTCAGCGTAGTACCTAAGTAGGGGAAATGCGTGTACTATTCTTTTGGAAACGGTGAATGATGATGATGATAGGAGCTAGCAGATAGCATCTACTGTGTCCTGAATGTTTCTCTAAGCCTCTTATTTGTAATTATTTCATTTAGTCTTTACAACAACCCTGTGATATAATTCTTACCCCCATTTTTAAAAAGATTTTATTTATTTATTTGAGAGAGAGAGAATGAGAGAGCGAGAGCATGAGAGGAGAGAGGTCATCAGGAGAAGCAGACTCCCTGCCAAGCAGGGGGCCTGATGCAGGACTCAATCCTGGGACTCCAGGATCATGACCTGAGCTGAAGGCAGTTGCTTAACCAACTGAGCCACCCAGGCGCCCACTACCCCCATTTTAACAAATGAGGAAACAGAGGCACTGAGAGGTTAAGCAAATTCCCCCATGCTTTCATAAGTAATAATTGGCAAGGATGGGATTGGAATCCAGGATGCCTACCTGCAGAGCCATGTTTCTAACTATATCACTATACAAAGGATGTAAGGGAAACATTCTTCGAGACCTTGTTTTCAACTCTTTGGTGATTTCTCCTATTAGAAACTTTCTGCCGGTACCATCTCTTAAAGTTTGGTAAACAGTTTTTTGGGTTAGGTTTCCTCATTTTCATCCATTCTTCTGCTTTCTCCTTGCTACCCCTTTTTCTAATCTCTTTTTCTCTTGGAGGCCATCTGGATCAGCATAGATGAGCAAATACACTAACAGCATTATGATCTCTTATGGCATGAGTCTATATGTAGGGAGACAGATGGAAGGTGTTTTTACATTTATTGGAAACATCAGGTTTTCCTTTATTTCACTACTATCAATAAATGAGTTCTAATTTAAGGGACAGCATCACTACACTTGTCTAGATGTATATATACTCTGATGCTCCTAACTAGGAGCATCAACTCTTCAGGATGGGACTAAGAGTGGTTTATAAAGCTAAGAGTACATCAAATTATTTTGTTGTACACCTTAAACTAATACAATATTATATGTCAATTATATTTCAACAAACATGGAAAAATAATAAATAAAAATAAGGCCAAGTGTAGACACTTCAAGAGAGTCTCTCTAGTCTTTGAGATTCCAGCACTCCACTTAGAGCTGAAAAAGATCTTGGAAACAAACTTGTGCTTCTTTTTGGGTTTCCATGGGGGAAGTCTTCACTTTTCTTGCAAATTAAGTTGACATCTCTGTGGCTCCAGTTCCCTGGGATCGGGAACTGTGCCAACATAGCTATGTTCATACATGAATTTGTTCTTAACTGGGCCCTCAAGCCTCACTTAATCATCTCTCTGGACCTCCGGGTCTGAGTTCAGGCTTTGTTAACATAGTCTGATTGTCTATTTTTTCTGTTATTTTTTTTCTTACAGTTGTGCTAATGGTTTTTTCCCTGATCTCTGTCACCTATGGGGCTACCCTCTGCAATATGTTGGCTATCCAGATCAAGTATGATGAATACAAGATTCGCCTCGGGCCATTAGAAGTCCTCTGCATCACCATTTGGCGGACATTGGAGATCACTTCCCGCCTCGTGATTCTGGTGCTCTTCTCAGCTACCTTGAAACTGAAAGCTGTGCCATTCTTACTGCTTAACTTCCTGATCATCCTCTTTGAGCCCTGGGTTAAGTTCTGGAGGAGTGGTGCCCAGATGCCCAATAATATTGAGAAAAATTTCAGCCGGGTCGGCACCCTGGTGGTGCTGATCTCCATCACCGTTCTCTATGCGGGCATCAACTTCTCTTGCTGGTCAGCTTTGCAGCTGAAATTGGCAGACAGGGACCTTGTTGACAAAGGCCAGAACTGGGGGCATATGGGCCTGCACTATAGTGTGAGGTTCGTAGAGAACGTGGTCATGGTTTTGGTTTTTAACTTCTTTGGAGTGAAAGTGTTGCTGGATTACTGTCATTCCTTGATTGCTTTGCAGCTCATCATTGCTTATCTGATTTCCATTGGCTTCATGCTCCTTTTCTTCCAATACTTGCACCCATTGCGCTCACTCTTTACCCACAACGTAGTGGATTACCTCCATTGTGTCTGCTGCCGTCGGCACCTTCGGGGCAGGATTGAGAACTCAGAGCTACCCTGTGATGCCCAAGCAAGGCAAAGCATTGTCTGAGATTCTATCTTCTGGGTCCTTCGGGATAGGCTGGGGGTGGCCAAGAGCAACTTTGCAATTGAAGGAGAGGATGAGGCTCATAGGTGAGTACCCACCGGGACATTTTCTTGAAATTTCTGGTAAGCCTCTAAGAAGAAAGAGCAACTCCCAAATAGGTTTTATTTCTTTAAGACTGACTGCTATGTTTGGAAACCCAGGGTAGCTAAGAAGGTTAGCTTACCAAGAAGGTTCAGAGATACTGTGAACCTCTCCCCTCCCACCCAGGGCAGCTCTTTGGCTGCCCAAGGGGATAATTTACCTCCAAGCACCTTAAGCTCTTTCTCGGTGTGATCTTGTTACTCGGCTTGTTTGCTCCAGGGCATTACTGAGCTTTCCTAGGGCTGGGATGAATGCCCAGAATTCCACCAGAATATATACTGACTGATCAGAGATGTGACAATTTGTTGATTATGGGTACCTCCCAGGAAACTGTCTGATTAATGTGGAATTATAACTGTAAGCATGGCTGGGTTTTATTTTTTTTAATTCCACTGAGAAACTCTGTTTTAAGAAGAAAACCCCCACTATTAAAAGAGCTGTTCCCCAAACAAGTTAGCTTAGCATTAGGATTTTAGTAGTGATCATAGTAATCAAAGACCTCTCTTTTCAAGCAACCCTTCCTAGGCACACTCCCAGGAGGGAGTGTGGAGTAGGATTCCTTCATGGCATAATCCAGAATGACTTTTTCTCAGGGACCTGCAGGGGCATCCAGCTTGTGGAATGGAGTGGTTGAGTAAAATCTCTCACTTCCTGCCTCGTTATCAGGAATTCCCTCCAAACTGGTTTTTCTGTGCTCATGGCAGTTTACTACTTGAGATAGATTTCAGAGAAGCGGAGCTGTAATTGAAAATGTTTCTAATGTATGGAAGAAATGAAGATTGCTTTGTGTCTCCTACTCTTCCGAGTATTTTGCTGGCTTGTTTTTTTTCCCCCCTAGGGGAGAGAAAAGGTAATAATAGTTGGGCTATTACCTTCCTGCTGTTTGGGGTTTGCGGGGCAGCTAATACTCCAAGGTAGAGTGAAGACAGAGAAGGGAAACCAGATGACATTAACTCATCATTGGTACTGGTTTTTGACCACCGGGCTTTATTTTCTAATAAGGAAATGTTTATCAATCTCCTGCTCATTCCCACACTCCCAATGAATGAATGCATATCTCCCTTTCTCATGAATCTCATATCTGTGGGTATTTTGATGGGGATGTCAGCTCAGATGCCTCTAAGTTAACCAAGGAATTGAGGTTAGTATGGCCACTGCCTGTTGGGACCTAGTATCCCAGCATTTACCTAATGCTCACCCCTTACAGACGAGGAAAGTAGAGAATTCCTAGCAGTATGTACTAATTGTTGCTGCCGCAATGTTTTGAGAAATTGTGAAGGATCTGACCCTAAAGTTTCTTGTCCCCATCCAGTTTTACTCATGAGATCATGTTAAGAGTTTATCTTTAGCCTTATCCCTTCCTCTTATCCAGTGTCAGGAGTTTAGGGTGGAAGAGCTCCCTCTTTCAAGTAGCAGGGCTGTTAGCCAGAATAGTCCTATTTCCTGGCATGTCTAGTGTGGTTTCCCATCTTCAACCACTGTTTGGGGGCCAAAAGGATTGAATCGTTAATTGGGAAGGAGAGTCAAGTGACTTGCTTTGGAGCAGTGAAGACTTTCTTTGTCAATCCAACTCCCTCATTTTATCTTTGATGGAGAGACTTAGGTTGGTGTCTGAAAACGCTCACACTCCTATCTTCTGACTATGTTATCTAAGGTGAATTTGAAAGAATCTATTAGGCCTCCAGAAGAACACCTGTCTCTTTGGAATTCAAACAACAATTTCTCTCTACTGGTTAATATTCCCTTCTATTAAAATAAGAAACAGTGTGGAACTGTAATTTGGCCCATAAAAGCCATGTGAGTCAGCTACTTGAGGCACACACTAAGCCAAGCAGGCCAATTAGAGCTAGAGTAGAGATACACAGGGCAGAAACATGTGCCTTGGTACTAGACCAGGCATATTTTTTCCCACGTACCCTCCCCAGCCTCTGTGACTTAATATCTCTGGAATGCAGGGAGTTCAGGATGAGGGGTGTGGGACAGCTTTCGGACCTGAAAAACCTGCTGCCCTTACCCAAGGAGAATAGAGTCTAGTGATACCTTATGCAAATGAACTCTCAGAACGTCCTATATGTGGTGGCCTTTCTTTTCCACAGCAGTCTTCTAGATACACAGAAAAAGGAGAAATTTCAAAATATGGTGGATGGGCAAGGGAAGTGCTCCCATCTGCAAACACCTCTTTAATTGACTACTTTCTTTTTACCCTTTGAAATCTTTAAGTGACACAGGGTAGTTGTGTAGGGGCCAGCCTTCCTGGGAGAGGAGGCAGAAATGGGGCCAGGAAATGGGTCTTAGAAAAGGAAGGCAGAACCATGAAGTGTGGGGGTAAAGAGAGGCTGTTGTAACCACAGTCCCCCCACTCCCCGCCCCGCTAAGTACCTGAAAATGAACATGTTAAGGAAATGTATCAAATAAACTCATAGTTGTCAATTTCATTTGTTTCACAAATGTTTAAAGACTTTGGGGCCTAGAACTGGGAAGCACTGTAGGAGAATTAAATAATAGTTGATATTTATAAGAATTTACTTTATGCCTGGCATGGTGCTTTATATGCATTATTTCATTCAGTTCTCAAAACAATCCCTTATGAGGTAGGTACTATTATCCCCCATTTTACAGATGAAGATTCTAAGGCATAGAACAGTGATGTGACCTGCCCAAAGTCACAGCTAGTTATCAGAGCCAGGATTCAGTCTTGGGCACTCAGGCTCCAGAGCTCACACTCTTCATCATGACACAAGCCTCTAAATCCTCTTAGGTCCTTTGTGGAGTTAGTTTAATATGTTAGTGATTCCAGGGATCTTTTCTGGGCTGTAATCAAGGGGCATCACTGGATTTACTCGAGAGAAAAAGGTCAAGTCCTAAAAGGCCTGGGATGAAAATGGAGTATGTGTTCACCTGTACTTATAGGTTGGTGTTACTTAATGTTCACATGTACTTATATTTAATGTTTACATGTAATGATGGGGGGATAAGGCGGGGGGGAGAGAGGTAGATAGACACATTTCCTTTCTAGTTTCAGGATTTTGTCTCCTGTGTGTTCTTGAACACACAGCTTCCAGACCCTATTCATGGGAATAAAACTGGAGGGAGCAATTACTACCCAGGTTTGTATGAATCTTTCCCCCCCCCAACCCCCCAAACAACCAATCACAGCAGGGGAGTGCTGAAGCTGACTCTCTTATACTTCCTCTTAGCAACACTGCCCTTACTCCTCTTGAGAAGCTGACTCCTGATTCTAAAGCAGGCCACAGGATAAGGATGTGGAAGAATAATGACCTTCCCCCAACTGTCACAGTCCTGAGAGCCTAAGTCAACATTCAGTGCTCTTTCAGTGAGCCTGCTCCTGCCTGCACCTCTCTAGGTCATGGTCCTCAGCATTCAGAGTTGATTGCTACTTCCAGGGTAAGGGTGGTGTGAGCAGCTGAAGGGTAGAACATTCACCGGGACATTCCATCTAAACCTGGGGAGTTCCAGGGTGTCTGGCTGGCTCAGTCCGTGGAGCCTGCAGTTCTTGATCTTGGGGATGTGAATTCGAGCCCCTTGTTGGGTGTAGAGATTACTTAAAAAGAAAATGTTAAACAAACAAAACCCAAACCCCTGTGGAGTTCCATTTCTGAAAAGTTCTTTAATATAAAAGCAAAGGACTCTAGACCCTCCGAAATATTTATCTACCCAAGAGTGGGGATCCTCATTCTATGAAACTTTTGCTATTGGGCTTCATTACTATTTTAAGGGGACACACATGTGCAGAATCTTATGCCTTTCCTCTTGAAGGACCAACACCATTAGTCATACACTTTAGGTCTTAGAGCCTCTGGGGTGCAAAGTGAAAGTATGATATGAGCCTTGGCAACAAAGCACACACCATGTGAAACCGGGAAGTAGCAAGGCCAACCTGTGTGAGCTATGGGAACTAAGTGTGAAAACGATATACTTTCATGTATAGAGAAAATAACATCTGAATAGCACTGTACTATATGCGAAGAGCATCGATACATACTAGCTCTGTTACCATTGTATCATTGTTGGGACAAGCCCTCTGAGCTGTACATATGAATTTGCAATGTTCTAACCTTTAATTTATTAAACAATTATTAAACTCATTTTGTGCCAGGGAAACCTACATGGATATTTCAGAGTGCTTTATAGATGCTGAAAGACTCAAAAGAAAATCCCAAATATTGAGTTTCAGTGATATTGGAGATAAATAGCCACTGGTTGTCATCACTGGTATGAGAGCAAAATATTGGCGCAAGTTTTTGGAAGGCATTGTCAGTATTTGTCAAAATTAAATGGACATACTTTTTGTCTCAGAATTTTAACCTCTAGGAATTTTTCCTATGGCAACATAGATACACTTATGCAAAAGATGTGCACAGGAATGTTTATTATAGCACAGTTTGTAACAGTGAAAAGTTGGTAACAACTTATATTTCCACCTATAAGGAAATGATTAAATTCTGGTATTTCTAACATTGGAATACTGTCCATCCATTAAAAAGATATATGTACCCCTATGTTTATTATAGCATTATTTACAATAGCCAAAATATGGAAGCAACCTAGGTATCCATCAATGGATGAATGGATAAGGAAGGGGTGTGTGAGTGTGTGTGTATGTGTGTGTGTGTGTGTGTAATATTATGTGGCTATAAAAAGGGATGAGATCATGCCATTTGTGACAACATGGGCCTAGAGGGTATTATGCTAAGTGAAATAAATCAGACTAAGAAAAATACCATATGATTCCACTCATAAGTGGAATCTAAAAAATGCATAAGCAAAACGTAAAATCAGACCTATAAATAATGAAAAAAACCTAATGGTTGTCAGAAGGGAAGGAAGTGGGGGATTGGGCCAAAGGATGAAAAGGGGCCAAAGGGGAAAAGGAGATACAGACTTCCAGTTACAGAATGAAGGTCATGGAATAAGAGGTACAGCATAGGGAATAAGCCAATAATATTGTAATAGTGATGTATGATGACAGA